TTATTTTTTAGGGTTTAAGGTTCAGGGCTTTGGGTTTAGGGTTTAGGGTTCAGGGTGCAGGGTTTAGGGTCTTCGGGCTTTAGGGGTTTGTAGGGTCTTTGGGGCTTTGCGGTTTGTTTAGGGCTTGGGGTTGTTAGGGTTTGGGGCTCTAGGGTTTTTAGAGGGTCAGGGATTCAGGGTGTTGGGGGTTTTAGGTTTTCATTGTTCTGGGGTTAAACCCTTAACCTTAAACCCTAAACCCTAAACCTTAAACCCCGAACCCTGAACCCTAAACATCGCGAGTGGAGCTTCGGCGCTGGGGGCACAAGCCTCAACTGGGTTGTCACTGAGGAACTTAAACTAAACTGCCTAATTGGGATATATGAGATATAGTAGATTATAGGGCTTCCGGCTTATTACAGTAACTCAGTTTGTATAGTAGCTTGATTTAAGTCCCATAGCAGCCACCCAGTAAACAAGATAACCCGAAACCAGCAGCCCTGATAACCCAAGAGCCGGAGTCCCTTAACCCCTAAACCGTTGACCCTGAATCACAAAACCTTAAACCCTAAACCCTAAAAAACCTAAACCCTAAACCTTGACCCTGAATCACAAAACCCTCCGACGCATTGCCTGATGAAGTCGAACTTGGAAATGGAGTAAATCTCTGCCAGCGGAGCCGAGATCACCTCAGTGCCCCGGCTCGACGTGGGTTTAAAATTTGGGTTGTAATATTGGGACCTCAATCTTCAGAACTGAGTAGAGAAGTGGCGCAAACTCTACGATTTCTGCGTTTTACGGCTAAAGCATGTTTGTAGCAAGGACATCTTCCTCACATGCGTTCTAATTTAGAGTTTAGACTTCAGGGTCCCGCTGTCTCGTCTAATGATTGAGTCTTTTCATGGACCATAAGGTTCAATGGACGAAGGCGTTGTGATTCTGAGAGAAGAGGATGCCGATCTACGGGAACAATATGAAAACGGCATATATCAAACCTGGCTACTTACTACTGTAACTGTCAGGGCCTGAATGATTAGAAGAACCCGAAAAACTCAAATTGGTGATTGTTGAGGCTTCCATAGCTGTCTGTAACCTCATGCCTCCAACATGCCGACAACCACCCCAAGCGTGAAAACCTCGAACCCTAAACCAAGACCCTAAACCCTACAGAACCCTGTATGGAACGTTAATGTAGGGGCCTTAATAATTAGAACAGGGTTTTGGGCTACATTATAGTAATAGTAGGACTATAATGAGGACCCCCCCCCCTCCCCCCCCCTCAAAAAAAAAAAGAAAAAAGTATTTGCAATTATCTAGGTGCCCTAAACCCTAAACTCCAAACCCGAGCTGGGACCCGAGCAGTGCATTGGTAAGTGAGGCCTTCCATCAGCTCCATGACGCCCACGGAGCTTCCTGGGCGGAAGGGTTTGCAACCCTGCGGTTTAGTGCGTCGCTTCGGGGGTGGACCCTGAAAGTATGTAGGACAGTAGCCTTTTATGGGTTTTGAGCCAGTAGCTCACCTACTTGTGAGAGTCTTAAGTCAGGCTTACGAAACTGGAAATCGAGAAGCTGGCTTACTAAGGGCTTTTAGGAGTTTAGGGTTTTGGGCTCAGGGTTGGGCTGAGGGCTTCTCGGTATGGCTCGGGTTTGGGCTCAAGACTTTAGGGTTATTATAGTGTTTGAAGCTTCAAGGGGGGTTTGGGATTTGGGCTCAAAGCTTTGTTTTTTGATAGTGTTTGAGTCTTCAGGCTTCCGGGAACGGTGGGGGGCCACCTGCTTCCGTTTCGGACATGGGAGGAAACACACGGCCCTTCATTTAGAGAACCCCTCGCCCCCCGTCCCCTCCCGAACCACGCCGAATGCTGAATTTATGGATTAGGCCTGGACTGAGCATGAGGTGCCGCAATTAGACGATAGTCTGGTCGATGGATGCTGGACTTAGAAGTACTTAGACCTTGGTGTTTGGGCTCTAGTGGGGTTTATACCCTGTGTGTGCCTTGAGGGTCTAAGTGCCAGGGCTGGGTGATGGGCGTCAAGCCAAGCTTTATGTCTTACGGGCATCTCGAGAATGCCTGCGGTGGAAAGGGGTGGCGAGGGCAGAATGCAGGGCTTCACTGTTCCGAACCCACGCATCTCATTTCGACCTCAAAACCCACTGCATGCCAAACTCCACACCCTACCTAGACCCTAAAACCCTAAAAGCCCTAACCCTAAACCCTGAAAGCCTAAAGCCCTAAACCCCAAAAGCCCTAAACCCTGAAGTGGGTGTCACCAATTGAGCCCTGAGACCTTTGGAGATGACATCCACCACCACTTGCAAGCTCTGGGCAGCCGAAGGACTTCTGTCCTGCTTGGGAAGGCTACCCTAGGGGTCCAAAGGACCCAATTATTAGGTACTTAGGTTAGTAGGAAGTTATGTAGGTTACTATTTGGGAGAGTATATGACTATTAGGTACTTGGACCCTGAGGGCTATCTCTTGCATCTTTACCCCTTGTAGGTTTAGGGTTTGGAGTCTAGGGTTTAGCTTTTGAGGTTTAGGGGTTTGGGGCCTAAGTCAGGGACAGCGTCATAAAGACAGCACCGTATGGTAGAGTCTACGTTTACATCTTCGAGTCTTTATCGGAAATGAACCTACGACTACGTTATCGTCGAAGGCGGCACCGACCACAACCTTCGTCTGATGAGAACTAGAACGACGACGGTGATGAGATGGGGGTTTCGGAAAATAGGGCCTTTTGCTCTAGGGATCCTTGTTTCTGAGCATCCCCATTATTGTTCTGAAACCCAAAGGGTCTAAGTATCCATATAGTAGATATTTTGGGCCCCAGAGTACCTACCATATAAGTACTTAGACCCTTTGGGAAAGGGGTATCTTGTAAAGAGTCTCTTGGTTTCTGGAACCCCCAGATTTCGGAGCATCCTGACGGGCTCAACTGTTGGGAACCCACAGAGCGAAAGAATCGACCCTTCTTTAAAGGGAACCACCCCGGCAACTTTCCGAAGCCCACTTCTAAAACCCTTCAAGTCCCTCGCTCAACAAAAAAAGTGCTCCTACTAATTACAAAACCTCCCCTACCACACCCTGAACCCTAAACCCTAAACCCACACTTAAACCACACCCTAAACCCTAAATCCTAAACCCACACTTAAACGCCAAAGCCTAAAACCTAAACCCCAAACCCTTGTGTTGGAGCTCTCCTGCGGCGTCGGAGCCTCGGCAGAGGAGCTGCCTGGGCGGAGGCTTCTGATCGCTTGCTTCCTACACGATATTAAAACAGGAGCTTCCTGCACAAGGGGTTTCAGAGAGCCGTGTATAACTACATATATATCTATGCGTACGTGTGTCTATATATATATATATATCTGTAGGTGTACATATATATATATATACATGCGCTCTATGCATCTTATATACACATATGTTTGTGTATATACATACACATAGACACACACATGCATACATACATACATACATACATACATACATACATACATGCATACATACATACATACATACATACATACACATACATACACACACACACATACATGCATGCATACCTACGTACATACATACATACATC